AATGTGGGTTTACAGGTGTGAGCCACTGCACCCAGCCAACAGTTGATTATTTTTGAAAGAGTTTAAATATTAAGAACTTTTTTTTTAAGAGACAGGGTCTCACTCTGTCACTCAGGCTGGAGTGCAGTGGCATGATCATAGCTCACTGCAGTCTCGAACTCCTGGGCCCAAGGGATATCCCTGCCTCAGCCTCCCAAACTGCTGGGATTACAGGCATGAGCCACCATATCCGACCAGAAAAACATTCTTTATTTATGTAGTTACGATTTCTGGCGCTCTTCATTTCTTAGTGTAGATTCAGGTTTCCATCTAGTATTATCTTTCTTTTGCTTGAAGAACACCCTTTAACATTTCCTGTAGTGTCAATCTGCTAGTGATTAAGTCTTCCAATTTCTTATACCTAAAAAAGTCCTTATTTCACCTTTAGTTTTTTGTTTTGAGGCAGAGTCTCGCTTTGTTGCCCAGGCTAGAGTGAGTGCCATGGCGTCAGCCTAGCTCACAGCAACCTCAAACTCCTGGGCTCAAGCGATCCTCCTGCCTCAGCCACCCGAGTAGCTGGGACTACAGGTGTGAGCCACCCCACCTGGCTAATTTTTTGTTTCTATTTTTAGTTGACTGGCTAATTTTTTCTATTTTTAGTAGAGAGGGTGTCTTGCTCTTGCTCAGGCTGGTCTCGAACTCTTGACCTCAAGTGATCCTCCTGCCTCAACCTCCCAGAGTGCTAGGATTGCAGGCATGAGCCACTGTGCCCTGCCTCACCTTTGTTATTAAAAGATATTTCTGCTGGCAAATAATACCATGTTGACAGGTTTTCTTTTTTTTTGGTATTTTAAAGATGTTACTCCACTGTCTTCTTGCTTGCATTGTTTTCAACAAGACATCAGGAAAATATTCTTATCTTTGTTCCTCTACCCCAATTATGTCTTTTTCCTCTGGTTACTTTGAAGCTATTCTTTTTATAACTGATTTTCAGCATTTGATACTATGACTCGGTGTCATTTTCTTCATGTTTCTCGTGCTTTTTGCTTCATGTTTGTTGAGCTTTGTGGAACCATGGGTTTATGTTTTCCATCACATTTGAAAAAATTCTGGCCATTTTTTTCTTAAAATAGTTTTTCTTTCCCCGCCTTTATCTCCTCACCTTTGGAGACTCCAATTATACTTGTATTTCTCCACTTAAAGTTATGCCATAATTCACTGATGCTTTTTCCACTTTTCCCCATTTTCTCTGTTTCATTTAGTTTCTATTGCTAGGTTTTCAAGTTCACTAGTTCTTTCTTTTGCAATTTCCATTAATCCCATCCAAAGTATTCTTTCTCTCAAATACTGTAATTTTCATCTCTAGATATTCAATTGGAGGCTTAAGGGTTTTTTTTTTTCACATCTCTACTTAACATATTCAGTTTTTCCTCTAGCATCTGTAACATATGAAATATAGTCACAGTAAGTATGTGTGAGGTTCTCATCTACTAATTCTATCATCTTTGTCATTTCTGGGTCAGTTTTGATTGATTTTTCCCTTTCAATATGGGTTATAATTTCCTGCTTCTTTTCATGCCTGAGAGTTTTTTATTGGGTATCCAACATTGTATATTCTACCTTGCTGGGTGCTGGATATTTTTGTATACCTATAAATATTCTTGCATTTGTTTCTGGGATGTGATTAAGTTACTTAGAAATTGTAGTCCTTTGGGTCTTATTTTAAAGCTGTGTTAGGTGGGACCAGAACCATATTTAGTCTCATGTTGATTTTTCCCTACTGCTGAGGCAAGACCCTTCTTCCTGCTCTAATCAATGCTCCTTGAATCAAGGTTCCCCCTCTGGCTGTTGGACACAGGCACTATTCCCAGCCCCCTGTAGGCTCGAATCCTTCTGGATGGTTCTTTCTCCAGCCTTAGGGGTTTCCTTCACACCCTTGCATTGATCTGCACTCAGCTGAGCCTTGAGGATGACCCTCTGTGGATATCTGGGGTCCTCTCTCTGTGCAGCCCTCTCCTCTCTAGCCCTCTGGAGCACCTGCAAACTCCCACCACCTGCCCTCCCACCTCCATCTCCGCAATGAAGGGAGACCACTGGGCTCTGCCTGGGTACCTCCTGCACTGTGCCCGGGGCAGTGGGCATGGACAATCTGCAGCTCCTCTCTTTGTTTCCAGTCTCTCAAGGATTGCTGTCCTTTGATGCATGATGTCCAGTGTCCTGAGTACTGTTTTCACATATATTTGTCTGAGGTCTTTTCTTGTTTAAGGTGAGAGAGTGCAAATCTGGTCCCTGCTACTTGATCTCAGTTCTCTGCCAAGCTCTTTCTACCATCTGATATTCTTCCTTTCACTCTCTACATCCGCTACTGAGATGCCGCCTCTACAGAAGGTTGGGCCATCCGCCTTGCTCAACCCACACCTCCAGCTCCGGTACAGATCCTGACATGGAGGGAGGGCTCAGCACATCATTGTTACATGATCTTATGAAGAGTAAATTACTACTTATTTGGGCTTACCTGTGCTGGGCAATCCTGCGGATATTGCAGATGGGGCGCTGAGACGTTTCAGTTTTAAAGGGCAGAACTTGCACCCAGGCAGTCTGGTTGCGCACTCTGACCAACTGTCGCGGAGTGGCTGTGGGAGTCCAAGAGGGGGCGCCTGTCCCGAACTCCTGGGGTGGGAGAGGGGCTGGTGGGGGGCTTCTGGAGGAAGGAGCCTAGGCAGGGCACCTAGGAAGGGGCGGGGCAGGCCGGGCCAGGGCCCTGTGGGGGTCCGCCGCACCCCGCACCTCCACCAGGGGGCAGGGTGTCCCCACGGGAGGGGGCGGCGCGTGGCCGGCAGAGGGGGGCTGCGGGTTGGGGAGCACGCGGCTGGACGGTGGGGGCGCGTGCTGGGGGGTTGCACAAGGCCGGGCGTGAGTGGGGGGCTGCGTGCGGAGGCCGGCAGGGGCTGTGGACCCGCCCGCCTCCCCTGCAAACCTACAGTCTCTGCCTCCCCGTCGCATCCCATCCACCTCAGCTGCGCCCGCCTGGGCCACCTCACCTGCTGAGATCCCTCCCCACTGCCCACCTTCTCCCCCCACTTCACACACCTGCCCTCGGCAGCCTGCACACCTGTCGGAGCTCTTCACGCTTCGGCGGTGTCTCCTCAAAAACCTGTCCATGACGTTTAGGGCTGCCTGCCCACTAACCCGGGACCTCACACCCACCTGTCCATTTTGCCATGGAGCACCTGTTCGTGACCCCTGGCGCCAGCTGGACAGTCCTCAGGTGGCCGAGGCCGGCTGTCCTGGCTGCTGCTAAGTCAGGCCTCAGCTGCGGCACCTGGCGTTTTGCAGCTCAGAGGGCCATTCAGCCTATGCCCTGACCTTGGCCTGGGTGCAAAGTGGGTACGTTGGGCCACTGAGGGTAGGACAGGGATGGGCCCTGCTCACCTCCCTCCATCTAGAGATGCCCACACTGGCCCAGAGACAGGATTTGGGGTTGAGGACGCTGGGCTGGGAAGCTGGATTCTCACTGGCCTCACCAGCTTGGGATGGGTGACTAGTTGGGTCTTGGTGGGCCCTAAACCCTGAAAACTGGCACCCCTTCTCCAGCTCTTCTCTACCCCGAGACATTGGCTTGCAAGGCCTCTCCAATGTCAATCTTCCCTGGAAGGCTTCTTGGAAGAGGGGGCTTCTGAGCCCAGAGAGAGTGGCCGTTCCAGGCAGGGTTCCTGAGGGAAGAGCATGGGGTGGAGAAGGGGCTGGTAATTTGGCCAGAGCTCAGGAGCCCTGGGGCAGAGACGTGGGAGGTGGGTAGGCATGGGTTTTGTGTTGAGGGCACTGGAAACTGAGCAGGGTGAGGGGAGGTCATGAGGAGGCTGGCCCAGTCATTTGGGCCAGAGAGAATGCGGGGAGGGGCGGAGGCCCTGCTGATGGCGCTGGGTGGCCTGGGAGCCGAGTGTGCTGGGCAGGCGGCGGTGCGGGGGAAGAACGGGAAGAGCTGGACTCCGCAGCTGGCTGGTCTGAGTCCTGCACATGCCGAGTGCGGGCTGGGAAACCGCGGGTAAGCTATCTTCACTGTTCACCTGTTGCAGGGGACACCTGCCTGGTATCAGGATTAAAGGGGGCGTTGTTATCTACTATTACCGGTAATGATTACTATCAGTAGCGAGTGAGAGCCGGGGAAGCCTCCAGGTAAGTTGTGGAAACATACCTGCGCTTGGTCAGGGGCACCAGGTAAGCCAAAGCGCAAGGGGCGGGGCTCGTTCCCTACCACCCCCACCGCCGAGGCGGCCCATCTCGTCCTGAGCTGCTCCCGACGGCTCCCCGGCGCGGGCCTCCAGGCTGGGAAGCGTCCCGCAGCTGTCCAGTTCGCCCCCCGCCTCAGGACTACCAGGGAGACAGTCCAGGCTGGGGACTGGGCTAGCCAGAGGCCAGGCGGCCTTGGCCCGGCCAGAGTCTGCTCTGGGGGTCCAGGGCGCTTCCCTGGGATTGGGCTCTGAGGCCCGGACGCAGGCGCGTGTGGGTGGGGTGGGCGTGGCTGCTCCCGAGTTGCCTACGGGCTCCAGGGGGGCGGCCCGGCCAGGGCCGGGCGGCGAGAGCCCCGCCCCGGGGAGCCACCCAGCCCGCAGGGCCGCCCGCAGGGCCGCCCGCAACGCGAGGGTTAAGGTTCGGGAGCCCGGCGGGCGGGGCGGCGCGCGCGCGGATTGGGGGGAAGTTTTGGCGCGGGGCGGGGTCCGGGGCGGGGCGAGAGGCGGGCCAGAGCGCACGGATTGGCCAGAAGTTGTGAGGGGCGGGGCGCGCGGCGGGCTCGGCGCTCGCTCCGGGAGAGTCGACAAAGCCCCGCAGGGAAGGACGCCTCGCGGCGCGGCGCCCCGGGCCCCACGCCCCGCCGCCCCGGGACCCCGGCCCCGGCCCGCGGACGTGCCCCCGCCGCCTGCTCGGCCCGGGACCCCGCGCGCCCGCGCCAGACCCGGACCCCGGCCTGAGCCGCCAGTGCCCAGGTAGCGCCGCCCCGCCCGAGGCCGGGCCCGGGGGCGCGGGGCGGCGGGATGCGGCGCCTGGGGCGGCAGTGACCACGGAGCGCACCCCTCGGGCCCAGCCCTGACTCCCGCCGCCCGCGCGCCCGCCCGCCCGCCGAGCCCCCGCCGAGGTGAGCCCCAACACGCGGGTCCACGACCCCGGGTGGGCAGACTGGGGAGGGTCGGGGGTCTGGGGCGCGGGCGGGGAGGGTCTGGCTCCGGGCTCCCTGTGGGGGGCCGCCGGGCACGGGTCATGCGCCGCCACTCCTTCCTGGCCCGCGGTGCTGCCCTGCGCCCCGCCCCTGCCCCCGCACCCCATGTGGGCCCCCCCCGCAGCGCAAATTTGTCCGCTAATGGCGCAGGCGATTATTTGCGGGGCTGCTCGGTGTTGTGTGTCCCGCGGGCAGGGCCGGAGTTACAAGCGCCAGGAATCCAGACGGTGTTTGGAGAGGGGGGGTAGCGGGGGAGGCCAGTAATTAGTGTAAACCCTTTGTCTGCCTTTGATACCCACAGCTTCTCTCTGCCGCGGCTTCCTCCACCTGGAGCGGGGTGTCGGAGGGGGCCAGGCTGATCCCGGCCCAGGACGGGGTGGTGGCGGCCCTAGGGGCTCTGGGCTGGAGAGTGGCGTCCCAGTCCCAGCGCTCAGTCACCGCTCCCCCAATGCCCCCAGGTCTGGACAGGCCGAGATGACGCCGAGTCCCGCGTTGCTGCTGCTGCTGCTGCCGCTGCTGCTGCTGCTGCTGGGGGCCCTCCCACTGGCTGCCGCCGCCCGAGGTGAGTCCTGGCGCCTGGCCAGGCCAGCCTGGCCTCGGCCAGCGCCGCCCCTTTCCCGCGGCGGCCCTGAACCCTGCCACAGTGCCTGCCTGGCACGCGCCCCGTGCCTGCTCCTGCTGGCCTGCTCACCAGGGCCCCCCTGCACTCAACGGCCCCCTCACCCACAGGGTCCCCCAGCTCACCTGAGGGGCTCACCTCACTCACGATTGCCACTAGTGGACTCTAGCCCTGGCCCCCCCTCAGGACACACTCCTAGTCTTGCACACACACATACTTTCACATGGATTTCTGAAGTAGAGCAGCTGGTTACCCTGTGGATTCTTAGGGAGTGGACCCAGTTAGGACCCTGGGAACCTGCAAAGACCCCAGAAAGCCAAGGTGGGCTAGGGGACACTTGGTGATGCTTTCAGGGCCTGGGACTCATCCTGACCCACAGCCCCCCAGCTGCCCCAGCCCTTCCCAGGCAGTGCAGGATAGAGGCTGCATGGAGGAGCTGAGCCCCAGAGCACTGGGACATCATGGCATGGCAGGGGCCATCTCAAGGCAGACACCTGAGGACTGCATGCTGCGTGGCCACACATTTTGCCTCTCAGCATGCGCTACACCACGGCCTGGGCCTGTGCTACACACGTCTGATGTCCAAGTGGGTAGCCCTAGCCCCGGACTCAGCCCCAGCAAGGAGCATCCATGGCGTGTGGGTGATGCGTGCCCGCCATGTTCCAGGAGCAGGAGGACACAGTGCTGGCCTCCTCTGTGGCTAGGCGGGCCCTGTGGCCAGGCCAGCCCTTTGGGTGTGCTGACCACTCAGGATCGTCCCTGCTCTGTCCACCAGTCCTCTGGAGCCTCGCACCCCGCCCCCGCCGCCCAGTGAGCGCACCCAGCCCAACCTGGCCTTATATGGCCATGTTCGGGTGTTGGGTGGCAGGCGGCGGCCCAGGTGGGCCTTATGCCATAGTACCCCCCCGGCCGCCAGGGACTGGCCGGCTGGCTGGAGGGTGGGGGCTGTCCAGGCGTGGCCAGGCCGGTGGCTGTTCTGAGGGCCCAGGCAGTGACCTGGGCATTGCGGGCACTCAGGCCATGCTGGGTGAGCCCCCACATGGCCAATGGCCCAGGCTGTGGATCCCCTTTTATCTGCTGGATGCCCCTGTACCCGCACCTGCCTGTCCTCTGGCCACTCAGCCAGGAAGGCTCTGGAGGCCTCTGTCCTGCCACGGTCACTGCCTGGAGCTGAGGCCCAGGCAGGGCCTGCCTCTTCGCTGAGACACCCAGAGGGGCCACTCCTTTTGACCTGGGCCCCCACGGCTGCAGCCTTGGGGCTGTGCCGCTGGTCTGCCCAGCTTTGCCTGGCAGAGACCCTGGCAGCACCAGAAGCTGGAGGGAGCTGCATCCGAGGGTGAGGGCCTCTGTGGTTGGGAGAGGAGGTGGGGAGCGATGTCTTCCCTGAACTGTGCGGACTTTCCCCCCAGGCCCAGCCTGCACTCGGGGGGCAAGGTCATTCCTACTGCTCTGGTGAACTGGTCCAGTGTGGACCTTCGGCTGGGCTGGCAAACCAGCACGTAGAGGGTTTGGGTTATTTTTTGAAAGCCATTTCCCTGTGGTGTTACAATTTCTGGAAATAGTACATCAACAGACTCGGATCATGTTTAAAAAGTTCCCCTTTTCCCAAAGTTTCACAATCTTGGTGGGTTTGTCTTAAATTGCTTTTTTTCAATTTTCAAAAAAGATTGGATTTGGCTTTCTCTGTTTCCATTTTGTTTCTCACAGTGGGAACCTGAGAGGTTCAGCATGAAATACCCTCCCCAAATAACTTCGAAAGAAGTCATTTTGGGGGATTTCTGAGAAGTGCCACCTTTGAACTTTTGCACAGATGGCCCTGGGGAGCAGTCTCTATGCAGCCAACGCAGGAGGTCACTCTCCCCTATCCTCTGGACCTAGCCAGTGTACACGGGGTGAGCTGAGCCCTGCCCAGACAGGCAGGGTGGTGTCCTTCTGTGGTGCCCCATGCTTCAGGGATGGTGCAGTCTCAGGGACACCTCGCCAGGGATGCTGTGCCAGGAAGGAGGCTGAGAGTGTGTGACTCAGTGGGGAGGCCGTGGCAGTGGCCATGTGCGTGGTGCTGACTTCAGCCCCTGGCCAGGCTGCAGGGGCCCTCCCCACTTCCCCAGGCCCCGCCAGGCAGGGGCTGGCCAGTGTGCCGCGGGCCGAGGTGGACCTGCAGAAGCTGGGCCCAGCGGCTGTGAGGTGGAGGTGGAGGTTCGGGCCAGCCACCCTGTGCACGTCTCAGGGCCCCACTTCTGGAAGGGAAAATAAATCACTGTCCCCTTGGGGGGAGGGAAGGAGCGGTGAACAAAGTCGCCTTTGGCTGGGCCTGGAAACTCCGACCACAGGCTCCTTTATCCATTGTGCGGGAATCAATGGGCCTCCGGGCTCTCAGCCGCCTTTCAGCCACCCGCCCTATGCCATGGCCCTGACGAGGGGAAATGTTGGTTTTTCCCCAGCCGTGGCCTCCAGGCTTCGGCTCACTCAGCCCTAGCTCAGAAGCTCTGGCTGTGCTGGGAAGTGGGCTGTGCAGCCTGGACCTGGTGCTGCACCTTGCTGGGTAGTTCCAGCCCTGGCACATCAGCATGAGGAGGGGAAGGCAGGCCCAGGCTGCATCCCTGCACCCCATGACACCCATCCAGTGCTGCCTTGCTCCGCTTGCTGTTGCCCTTCTGCGAGGTCACCAGGTACCTGGTCAAGCCCCAGGGGCCCAGCCTGCTGACCTCAGCCTGAGGAGAGCAGGGCCTGCTCCTGGTAGGGCTATAGCCGCGGGGTCCACAGGCCCGGACGGCTGGGGTTGGGTAGAGATGGGTGGGAGAGGAGGCGGCCCTGGCCAGGGCAGGCCTGGGAGGAGAGGTGGGTATCCATTCCCTAGAGGAGCAGAGCATGGGGTGGGGGGCCCCCAGGAGACTCCCTGGGGGCAGGGAGCTTCCCATCTTGGCGGGAAGCAGTCACTTTTCTTCCTGAGAGATTCGCAGAAGCTGGTGGGGTCGGGGAGGAGCAGACAGGGGAGGGCCCAAGCCAGGTGTGGTGTCCCTTGACTCCCTCTGCGCTCCTGGGCTGCCCAGTGGTCCAGCTGGGGGCCCACAGCCCCCGCAGTGGACAGAGCACCGGTAAACACCCAGCCTCTGGCTCAGGAAACTTCCTTGCTGATACCTCCAAGGTGGTGATGGGCTGCTGGGGTCAGGGGTCAGAGCCTGCTGTGGGGCGGGGCCCTCCAGCGAGTGCTAGGCAGGAGAGGCCAGGCCTGCACCAGGTAAGCGGGTATCCGTGAGGTGGGGGCAGCCTGGAGCCTGGTGGGATCTGGACACAAGATGGGGCTTGCCCGGGTATCCATCTGAGTCAGTACCCATCTGGAAGGGTACTGGGGCAGGCGGGTCTTTGCTGCGGGTGCTGCGTGTGGGCCCTCCAGGGCAGTGGCATCCCCTATGTACTCTGGTGCCTGTGTGTGTCCTGAGGACAGGAGGAGCAGTGCCCAGGGCCAGGGTCCACAGAAGGTGCCATCCAAAGGCTCCCAGAGCAGGCATAGACCTAGACGGGTTGGGCGGCATCCCCAGGGCGACCCCCAGCCTGCTGGCCCACCTGGTGCACACTGCTGGGCAGTGGGGTGGACCGGTGCTCCAGCCAGCTTGCTGGGCTTGGAATGCCTGGTTTCTGGGGCAGCCACCTGTTCTGTGGGTCCTACCAGTTCCTCCACAGATCCTGTGTATCTCGTGCCAAGAGCTGGCCCTGGGCCAGCTGGTGACCATGTTCACCCCGGGCCTTTGCACATATGTATAGAGCGTGTACATGTGTGCGTGTGCCTGTGTATGTGCCTGAGTGTCTCAGGGTGGGGCAGAGCCTGGCCCCTGGCACTGGGTAGGCAGCAGGGCCCTGTGGGAGTTCCCTGTGCTCCCCCTCCTGGGGGACTGTCCGCCTTTGCTCTTGGCTTCCTAGGGAGGGTGCTGGGCCCTGAGGCCACTGTCTCTGGGGTTTCCTGCCTCTCCCCTGCGCTTGGGTGCCCGAGGTGGGCTGGCAATAGCACGTGAAGGCTGAGCATGGGTAGCAGGGACTGTATCTCCTTATTGTAACGGGGGTGCCTGGCAGTACTTCAGGGAGTTGGGAGCACCAGCCACAGAAGGCTGAGCACCCGGTCAGCATGTCACCGTGGGGCAGACACCTTGGGTCCCTCCCCTGGGTTGGCTCTGCTGTGTCCCCCTGAGGCCTGGAGTAGAGGTCTATGTGGGCCAGGGCGGATCTGGCTCCTTTCCTGGCCCTCCGGTCAGAATCTGCACGCTGTCCTCTGAGCCCTCCCAGCCACTTCACTTCTCCAGGAGGGGGCCCAGCCACCCCCACCCCATGGCCAGGTCCACCATCTTCCAGCCTGAAGTTCTTCGGGCCGTGCAGGGCTTGCTGGGGATGCAGCCGCTGTGAGCTGGCCAGGCGGTTCCCACACTCCCACTGTGTCTGAGGTCGGTTGGGGCCAGCGCTTGCCTAGCCCCTCGGTGAAGGGAGCTGAAGGTCAGAAGGTCAGGGCCCAAGTGGGGGCTGGCTGTGGGGCCAGGCCCTCCAGCTGTCAGCTTCCACTTGCCCTGCACTTCCCAGGCACACTGGGGGTCTGTCTGGCCTTACAGGTCTGTCCCTGGGTGTCCCCATGTCCTCAGCCGGGCATTTGACCCTGATGCTGTGGCTACTTCAGCCACAGGGAAGGACTCTCATACAGGCCCAGGGAACCTTCAGCCGGCAAGCTCTGTCATCCCTGCTGGGTCAGGAGGCCTGTCTGACCCGGGCTAGGGGCTGCTGTGGGCTCTGCAGAGGGGTGGACACAGCTGGCCTGAGCCATGGAGGCCTTGGGAGTGTCCAGTGCTGGGCTGGGCTGGGCCCCTGCATGGGCCCAGGAGCCTCGTGCCCTGAGCATTGCTGGGCAGCTTCAGAAAGTGGGATTGGCTTTTTCCAGCATACTTCCTGGTCCTGGCCTTGAT